AGAGAGAGAGAGAGAGAGAGAGAGAGAGAGAGATCTTTAAATATGCTTTAAACATTTTAAAATAAGTTCAATGCACTATTGTCAGAAAGTAGGACTAATACTATTGCACTGATTATGAGAATATTGTCAGGGCATAGTCCTAAGTCATAAAGTGGTAGATAGAAGTAAACAGACATAAAGTTAGGCTATAAAACCCTCTCATCGAAGAGAGTTCCCTTAGGCCAGGAATTTAGCTCAGTGGTTCTGCTCCTAACTCTCAAGCATAAGGACCCAAGTTTGATCCCCTGTACCAAAACAAACAAACAAACAAACAAAAAAGCCATAAAAACAAAGAGAGTTCCCTCAAAATTAGGACATATGGTTTAAAATAACTTAAGAGTTCAATGTCCAGAAAGTAAAAGCATGCCATGATTCACCTATGTGGAATTCAAATACATCTGGGTTTTCATTTTGAATTCCCTATTGTCTGGTGTGGCAATGAACAAATTACCTAGCTAACATAATTTCTTATCTATAAAAGAGGAGTAAAAGTATCTATGTCAGTTAGGATAATCCAGTGAAAAAAATACGTAAAGTATCTAGCCCATATGCTACATCTCTAGTTTCACCTTTAGGGAAAGTTGTCAGGTTAAAATGTCTACAAAAGGGTTAAAATGGAAACTTGGAAAAGTAAAGACTCAAAGACATGGAATAATTTTTTGCTAGCACTTGGATGAAGTTTGCTGTAGATTCCATTGGCTTTTGTATTGTCGTAGCTCATATCTGTATGTCATACTTAGGTCTTACCTAGCCAGTCCTCTTGGTTTTACCAGTAACTTGCCTGCTACTGACCATATACTTTTATTGTTTTCATCAGAAACATGATAGAGTTTTCTGCTCTTCAATCTGAGACCCTAGGTTTTCATATAGCTTAACGGAAGGGCACTGAAAACCTAAGTTCATAAGTGGATCCCATCCTTCTAATTAAATATAATGTTCTCACTCTGGAATTTGTGCAGTTTCTCTGTTACAGGATATTAATGTGATAAAAAAGAATGAGGGCCAGGGAATTAGCTCAGGGGTTCTGCCACCTACTTTGCAAGCACAAGATCCTGAGTTATCTCTGATACCAAAAAAGAAAAAAAAATGAAAGAAGACATTCAATTCTCTAAGGTAGACCATCTTGAATATGTGTATGACTTAAAGTCATAATTCAAATATTATTTATGACCACCCCTGGGCCACTGAGGAAGAGCTGAGGAGCTGAGGCATACAGGCCACTGGTAACATTGCCCGCTGGAGGAGCCAAGGATCTGAGTGATGCAGGCCCCAGCAGCACTGTTCCCACTCCCCACCTCTGGCCACTGGAGTGAATAACAGAAAGAGGGCCTCTCTGAGGCTCCTTGATGAAAATTGAAGCAGACTGGAAAAGAGAAGAAAATCTCTTCAATAAAGGCACAACAGACCACCACCATAACTGGTAAATTGGAGCAATCACCACCTCCCATCAGAATCTGGACTATCTTCAGGGAAAGAAGGGCAGCTGGAACTTGCAGTAGGACCTGGCAGAGTGCAACCCAGCAGAAGGTCAGAGAGCTCAACTTGGGCCTTGCTGCCAGAAATCAGCCTGAACCTCAGAGGACAGCTGATGGCTTGCTGAGATGAATTAACTTATACTGAGACTAACTGACTTAGATCTGCTGCCCACATTGTCTTGTGACAGCAGAGACGTACCCTGAAGGAGGCCCTTCATTTTTATTTTTTATTTTCCAAGTTATTTTTTTCTCTCATTTTAAATTTTTTATCTTATCTTTTCAAATTTATTTATTTTCCTTTCTTTCTTTCTCTCACTCACTTGCTCTCTCCTATCTTGTTCATCATCTCTCTCCCTTTTTGTTCCTGTTCTGGCCCTAATTCAGATTTCTTTTTCTTTTCTTATTTCTTTTTTCCTTCTCTCAATTGTCATTGGTTTTAAAGGAAAGTAATACAGTTTCTAGCTTCCCTCTTACTAATAGGTTGTCCTATTCTTGTCTTTGTTCTTTAATTCTGTCTCCTCCTCTTGTCTTCAACAGTTTCTCAGAGTTTGTGTAATCTTCCTGTGTCTTCTGGTCTCACATCTAATCTTTCGCTATCCTTTTACCTAACTTATCCCTCTCTCCCCAACTCATTTTAAGTTCCTATCCTGAATGGTAAGTTGCTATATTGAAGAGTTTATTCGCTATAAATATATTTTTGGCTAGTTCTTGGTTTTGATTTAATTAACATGGTTAAAGATGATAGATTATTAACTACCACAAATTGTCACTTTCTAAGCTGTTCTTGATGTTATTATTTTTGAGATTGTATCACTTGGGCTAAAGTGTTGTGATTGATCTAATCTGTTGTCCTTCCCGGTATACTGAAAACAAGATTGCCTAAGAGTCATTAGAGACTCAAAACCTAAACACCAGCTGTATCTGGAAGACACCTCTGAGAAGCAATCATTATATAAGGGTTCTAAATACAAGCAACAAAGATGCTTATAATAAGCAATAATGAAGTATCAATCCAGGAATTAAACAAAAAACAGCACCAACAACAAAAACAGAAGTGAGAAGACTCTTAAGCCAGGCACAAACCCAGACTTCCAACTCCTCAAAGGCAAATTCTTGGCGAACCAAGGAGAAAAGTCTGATAATCAACCACCTGGACAACTTGAAGTAATAGCACAGGAAGTAACAAAACAGATGACTAAGGCTCTAGAAAAATTCAAAACAAAAATAATTTCCCAGATAACTACACAGATGATGAGCAGAATGAAAGACATGATTAGAGACTCTAGAATAGAAACAGATAAAAAAAAACTAGATGTGCTCAGGACCATGATGGAAGCCATGATGGCCCAGAATAGGAAAGAAATGAAATCCATGAAACAGATTCAAACACAGATCCAGGAGATTAACATTTCTATTGAAAGTATTCACAGCAGATGGAGCCAATCTGAAGACAGAATATCAGATATAGAAGCCAGGTGGTCAGCAACCATTGAAAAGAGTGATCTCGTAAAATTAGAAGGAACCATCAGCAATTGATTCAACAGCTCCTAGATGACACGAAGAAGAATAACATGAGACTGATAAGAGTTCCATGAAAAAGCAGGAGAAAGTACAAATGATATAAAAAGAACTGTTCACATAATTAATGACAGAAAACTTTCCAAAAAGAATGAAAGAATTTGACATACAGATAAGTGAGGCTTATATGACTCCAACTAGCCATAATAAAAAAAATCTACATCTCAACATATAATAGTAAGATCCTAGAAATACAGCAAAAGAACAAAATACTACAAACAGGTAGAGAAAAGAATCAAATCACGTAGAAAGGAAAGCCCATCACAATTATAGCAGACATTTCAACACAAATCCCTAAGTCAAGGAGAACTTGGAGTGAGGTATTCCAAGCCATAAAACAAAACATCCTCCAACCTAGACTGATATATCATGCAAAATTATCTTTCAAAATGGGGCAATAAGATACTTTCATGACAAAGAACACAGGAAAAACTTCAAGAATATCAAACCAGCACTCAAAACAATTTTAAATAATATTCTAGAAAAAGACAATGAAGTTCACAACACCATGAGGCCCAACAGAGCAAATCCAGCAGGCAATTTCAATGAAATTAAAGGTACAAGATCCCAATGATAAATGTAACTATGCTGTATACTTAAAAAGTACCAACGAACTCAATGAAAAAAAAAAAAAAAGAAATTGAAAGGGATGCAATACTCACAAATTCATTCCTGGAAGCAAGAGTTACTTTGATTCCAAAAGCAGGTAAAGACCCAACCAAAAAAGAGAGCTACAGGCCAATCTCCCTAATGAACATAGATGCAAAATTCCTCAATAAGATATTGGCAAACAAAATACAAAGGGTCATCAAGAAGATCATACACCCTGACCAAGTAAGATTTATTCCAGAGATGCAAATATGGCTCAACATATGTAAATCAGTAAATGTAATACACTATATTAACTGAGCCCAGGACAAAAACTATTTGATCATCTTAATAGATGAAAAAAGCATTTGAAAAAATCCAACACCGATATATGATTAAAAAATCCTACAGGAAATTGGAATAGGTCTTTATCTCAACCCAATTAAGGCTATCTATTAAAAAACAATAGCCAACATCATCCTAAATGGTCAAAAAACTGAAAAATTTCTCACTAAAAGCAGGAACAAGACAAGGATGTCCACTATCACCACTCCTGTTCAATACCACCACTCCTGGAAACATCAGCCACAGCAATTAGATAAGAGAAAGAAATAAAATGAATAAAGATAGGAAAGGAAGAAGTTAAAATGTCATTATTTGCTGATTTTATGATACTCTACATAGAAGACCCAAAAACACTCCACCAAAAGACTTCTAGACTTAATTGATAGATTCACTACAGTAGTTGTTTGCAAAGTCAACACTCAAAAATCAATAGCCTTCTTGAACACAAATAACAGGCTCACTGAGAGAGAAATTAGAAAAACAATTCCTTTCACAATAGCATCCCAAAAATACCATATCTAGGAATCAATCTAATGAAGGAAGCAAAAGAACTCTACACCAAAAACTACAGCACTCTGAAAAAAAGAGAACAAGGAGGATATAAGAAAATGGAAAGGCATCCATTGCTTCTGGGTGTGAAAAAATGGCCATACTACCAAAAGTGCTAATCAGATACAATGCAATCCTGATTTCAATTACAATAGCACATTTCACAGAACTAGAGAAAATAATCTAAGAATTCATTTGGAACAAGATAACTAGAATAGCAAATGTAAATCTAGTCAACAGAGACATGGCACGGGTTTTTACAATCCCCAACTTGAAACTATACTACAAAGCCACTATGATAAAAACAGCAAAGAAACAGATCTGAGGATCAGTGGAAGAGATCAGAAGATACAGACACAACTCCAGCTGTACTCAGATACCTGTACTGTATACCTAAAATGTTCCAATAAACTTAATGGAAAAAATAAACTATTGTTTCTTGTGGGGTTTTTTTTGCCTATACAAATATTTACTTTAAAAAATTAAATGAAACCAAACACTAAAAAAGTATGTCATACGTATTCCATTTTAGTTTTTCTAAATAAATTAATCAGGATTTTAAAATAAGGATCTCTTGTGTTTTCAACTATGTCAGCTGTTTTCCTGATAAAAATTTCAATTTTAAGCATAAACATTTTCATTACTCTATTAACCTTCAAGTCTATAAATAATTAGTAGTACTTATATAGGAAGCTTAAAAATTTTTTCCAACTCTATGTGTATTAATGTCTATAAAATTTTAAAATGTTAAATGTGAATAATTTCCATGAAAAATTTTCTTCAGTATTCCCTTTGCTTTTTATTACAACAAAATGGCTAATCTCCACCATCTTGTCACTGTTATCCATTTGGCATCCGGTAGATGTTGGCTGTAGTTCTTTTGTTTTTAAAAATTTTCTTTTTATACTTTGTAACATATAATGATTTTATTCCTCTTGGGGAGAGGGTACATATACATGACACATCTTAATCTTTTTCTTTCCCCTTTCCTTCCTCTTTTACTTAAGCAATTTCATATGTACTTTGTGTAGGTCCTCGTGGGCCTATATAAACCCTCCACTCTTTCTAAGACTTGTTGTTTTGTTTTGTTTCCTAAAGGATACTCCAACCTATGGAGCTACTGACAGAAATGATCAAGAAATGCAAAATAAATCAACTCCCAGGTAGTCCAGCAAAGAAATAAGCACAGAATATGAGTGCAATCAATAGAAAATTCTCTAGAAATTAGAAAACCATTTTACTAACCCTGATTTTTTCCCCACAGTGCCTGGTACAGAGTTTTGCACACATTAGTATTCAATGCATATTTCTAATACATATGAATAAAAAGTTACATATTCTAAAATTGGCCTACGTTGTCCACTAAAACTTCTTTTAGCAATTTGCTCCCTGCTCACTGTTGAACTCTTTTGTCCATTTTCTTTGGATCTTCATCTGTCCTCATGCAGGATTCAAAAAGGGGGAAAATAAGGAAATGGGGATGAACATCTTCATGCTTTGTTATTGTCATTGGTTATACTGTTATTTTATCATCTGGGCAATGTAGTGACACTTTTTAGGGTGATATTTATTCATTAATTTAAAAACTTCTACTGTACATTATGTATCGGTCATCTTTATAGAATACATTGTATTGTTACAGATTGATTTGCCCAGGCTTTTCTCCCAACCTCCTTAATTCTCTTCAGGTCATCTAAGCATTTGAAGGACATGGGTTAAGAAGAGAAATGGAGACCCTTTAATAATGTATGGAAAATTTAAATATAAATTGGACAAAAAACTAAATTTTAAGTAAGACATATTTCGTCTTCCTACCTTGCCACATAAAATGTCAAAATTTGCAGGCTAGGCTTGAAATAAAAATTCTTAGATGTTTTGAAAATTTGTGCTTGAAATGCAATGAAAACATGCCACAATTTCTAGACACTTCCCTCTCACATCCAGCTTTATCCTCACTGGCTGGCACATGTGAGTGGACGTGAGGTTGGCACATACTTTAGGTTAGATGTGTTCACAATCAAAGATCCTATTTTCTTATGGGGTGATGAACCAGGAGTAAGGGTCTAAGCAGACTCTGGAAATTAATTTAGAGTCATTTCTTGTGGGAACACGGGTGTCTTTGGTACTGAGAATGTGGGAATGTGGGCTAGAACTAAAACACATTTGGACTTTGAATGGGTGTTGTTGCAGCTGTAACACTCTGCTTCAGTGTAGCTCTTTTATTCCTCCCACATGGAGTGATCTGAAAGTGTTCTTCAATACACCAACTTGAGGAACTCACTGCTGACTTTGGAGACGTCCCTCTGAGGACCCACTTCAAGATTACAAGTATATGTTGAGTAAGTATTAAAAGAGGGTGTGAACTGGTACCTGTGTGTTCAATGGGAAGATGTGCCTGCAGAGATTAAGCAACACTTTGTCCTTAATTAGGTATGTGAATAGTCTAAGAGGAAACAGTTTAGAACAGCTTATGTTTGTCAGGAGGCAAAAAAGAAAAGGAAGAGTGTCTTACAGACAGGAACAGCTAGTAAAAATGCACACAGGTGTGAATTAGTACAAGTTGGGGAAAATGAAAATACATGATGTGGCCTGAATATGGAGAAGAAAAGGCAGTGGTTTGTGTATATAATAGTAGATGAATTGACATTTCCAGAAAAAAAGCAATAAAATGCACAATTATCTACATGTAGTAACAGGGATATAAGCCCTCTTATGACAGCATACTTACTCTCCCTTTTTCTCACCAAAACTTTCTGAGGCGCCTACCAACACCAGAACTGCATTCTGGGACAAAATTTCACTCTTGTATTGTCTTCGGTAGCTGGCCTAAAAGAAATATTAGCTATAATTATTGCACAGCATACATAACAATGACAATTTATCACCAATTTTATGAAAAAGTAATCTGTGAGAAATGTCAGAACCTCTAATAATCTTTATTAAAAATAAACTTTCTATAGAGTCCAGACCACCAGATCAGGGCAGAAGGTAGATTTAAGCTTTGGGTGCAACAAGCTGTTTCTGCAGGAAAGCAGGCTACTGGTAGTTGCTCATAAGGTTTCATAAGTAAATAGAGTTCTGTGTCAAATAAGTCTAAGAACTATTTCAAGTGTATCTCATCCTAAAGTTTCATAATATATATATATATATTAGAGTATTACAGACTCTGAGAAATCCTAAAGATTCTAGTTTGCATCTTAATTTAATTCCGTGTTTCAAAGTATAGCATTTCCATAACAGAACTGTGCCCTCTATTGTAAAGATCGAAGAGATTGCTGCTGTTCTGCAGAATGCAGTCCCTCCTTCATTTGATGCCTTTTGAGCACCTACTCAGCTTTACAGACTATATGCTCATGGTGAGGAGATGGCTTCCCTACCTCAGTGTGCTGAACACAGTTAAGAATCACTGCATAAATCTGAGTAGCAGAGCAAACGCATCAAAGGGAGAACACACAGTGATCCTGATCAAGTCCAAGGTGAAATGAGATGAATGCTGAGATGTAGGCATTTGGGGATGAAAATAACATATGTTCTACTGCAATCAGTAATAGCTATGTATGCAGTGGGGAAGACCACACCTGAACATTTTAAGAAGTGGTCCGAAAATACACAACTTCATGGATTTGGAAGATGATTTTGAGCATAAATAGTATATTTAGATAGACAGAATATGTAGTTGTGTTAATGACTGATATTTCCATAATGTGTTGTTCATATTCTTTGCTTTCTTTTTCTATTGGAAAAGCATGATTTATATTCCCTAAATTGTATAGAAATTACATGTCTTTTCTATTATTCTATCACGTATTTACAGTTGTATATTGATTATTATAAGCTTCCCCATTTTCCTAACCAGAGGGACTAATGGTTGTATCTTAAAGCAACCATCAGATGCACCCTGTGTTATGCCATGACTAGCCCTTCTACATTGTTTCTAATTCTTCTTTGATTTTGAAATTCTAGTCTGGTGGCTTGTCCATCCTACTCCTTTGCTGACTTCTGAGTGATCCTTCCCTACAATTCTTGCTGTCTTGCTGTGTTCGGACAACCTGCTCCTTTGCCTTTGCTTTAAGAGCTGCACAGAGACAGTTGCCAAGGGAATCCCTTATGATTGGCTATTTTCACTTTACCTCCCAGACCCATGGGTCCTTTAGCACATGATTTAGAAGAGATGGAGGCACTTAAAGAAAATACTTTTCGCCATATTAAATTAGTCACATAGGGGAAATTATTGCCCCACAAGTGGAAGCACCTAATTTGGTGAGTCAAGATGGAAATCTGCAGGTGAATAAAGTATCATGTATGTGGGCCTAAGCTCCATCCTTCATGGAACTGCCTCAGATTCTTTTTTTTTTTTTTGAGACAGGGTCTCACTATGTAGTTGAAACTGACCTGGAACTCACTATGTAGCCCAGGCTGGTCTCGAACTCACAGTGATCCTCCTGCCTCAGACTCCAGAGTGTTGGCATTACAGGCATGAGCCACCACACCCAGCACTGCCTCAGAAGATTTTTTTTGTTTTTTGTTTGTTTGTTTGTTTGTTTTGGTACCGGGGATAGAACTCGGGTCCTTGTGCTTGCGAGGCAGGCCACTGAACCGCTGAGCTAAATACCCGGCCCTTGCCTCAGATTCTTAAAGAAGTTGTTTAGGTCCCTGAAAGTGAACTTTGAGACAACTTATCTACCAGGACTACTGCTGGAGAGGACAGTCACACCTTACTTCTCTCCCATCTGCCAAGTTAGAATGAGCAAGTAGAGAGCTTAGGATCCTGTATGTCTGGAATGGTGGAGAAATGAATGACAGCTATTCATGCAATGGGAAGGCCCAGCAAGAACATTTTGAGAGGACCAGTCATGGCAAATAATTAAGATCATGATCCGGATAGGAAACAAAAACTAGGCTTTGGGAGTTTCCCACTAAGTCCTATACTCTGCTGTACTACAAAATTTCTCCAATTGTTACCCTAGAGTTGCACAAAATCATGATGCTTTCTACTTGCATTTGTTAGAGGATTTGGTGTTTCCCTTCCAAGAAAAACAGGTCCAAATCAGAAACAGTGGTGTCACAGAAGCAACTAACGCATCTGGATCTTGAGCCTAATTGTAATTCCTGCCATTGCTGTCTGTAAAATTCTCAACTCTTCAAAAACAAAACAGCTTTTACTTAAGGTAATATGAGGAGCCTGTCTTCCTTCCTGTCTTCTTTCTTTTCTTCCTATTCCTTCATTTCTCTATCCCTTCATTTTTTTCTTTCTCTCTCTCTCTCTTTCTTTCTTTCTTTTCTTCCTTCCCTCCTTTCTTCTCTTTCTCTTTTTATTTCCTTCCTTCCTATTTTCTTTTCCTTCTTCCTCCATCCCTTCCTTTTTCCCCTTTCCCCCTCTTTCCCCACCTTGCTCTCAGAATCCTAAGGCAATGCCAACCTTCCCTATGCCTTTGTAAGCAGTCTATAAAGTTATGTAAGTGTGCACACTCAATCTATTTGGCAAGGGAGAGATTTTTAGTATAACTTCAGGCCCCAGAGCATTTTAAAGAACATAAGTGAGCCCTGACTATTTGCGCTGACAGAAGGAGATTGCCAGCCAGCTCCATTGCTTCAATGGTGAAGGCTTCATCTATTTCCTTGTTACAGCTCGGACATTTCAGCTTCTCACGTTCTTTTGCTTCTTCTTGACTCAACTAAATAAAACACAGATTAAAAAAAAAAACAAACAATGATACATGAATATTAACATACTGTTCAGCATAAACCTCAATCGAGTCTCACACTAGATTATTCTTTGTTTGCTCAAATGTTCTCACTCTTTGTTCAGTTATATGGAAGGTAAATAGTTGCCCATTTTGAAGAAAAAAGTTACATATTTTTGTGTGGCATTATTAAAGGTTTGTAGAAGTGATTTTATATGGGATTATTTTTTAAATCCAATAGTTCTGTGTGGTGGAGCAGGAACAGCAGCAGTGGAATCAGCTAGGACTTGTCAGAAATGCACCTATTCAGACAGCCCTCTAGACCCACTGACTCAGTACGTGGAGAAGTGGACAACCATTTGTGCTTCTACAAACTCATTCAACTTTAACTGTTGCACTTAAAGTTTGACAAACACTGCTTGAATGAATCAATTAAGGTAGAATAAAAAACAAACATATATTAAGGAGATAGAAGCAGATAATTTACTGAGAGAAACTGAAACAAATGATTTGGTGTAGCTCTCAAACAATTTAAGGTGACAAAGGTAATGTATCAACCCAAGGCCACTGTTCTGTCTTTGCCACTATAGTTCCCTCCCTGTGTCTGAATCACAAAGAGGATAATGCCATTGATTGACTATCTGTCTTTGTGAAGTAGATAAAGCACCAGAACCGTGGCTTCAGTACTGACTCTGCCTTAGAATCTCATGGATAGTGGATTAAAAATGTTTATTCCTGGGGCCCTGCACAGACTCCCTTGGTCAGAATCTCCTTGGTAAGAAAACTTAACATTTTTAATATACTTTCCAGATGATTCTCATTCAGGCAGGTCAGCAAAGTCCATAATCAGAGATTGGGAGCTACTAGCAAACTCCTTAGGGATTGGTTCAGTAGTCCCATCCAAAAATCCTGGCAGTGTTCCTGCAAAGCAGGGTTTGGTTCTGATCTCCCATTTGGAATTTCAAGCCTTGGTTTTAGAAAATGGATTTAGCAAGATTCTTTTTAATGTGAGTATCTCTCTTCTGTGCTTCTAGAAGTTGAATTCATATGCTGTGTTATGCAGAAAAATATTGCAATAAAAACTGGACAAGACACAGGACATGGAAAAGCAGTAGCGGTTTTGAAAAGTTCCCAGAATAATGTTTACTATTTCCATTGTAGGAATCATGCCTTAATAGAGTGCTGAATAATATTAAGTAAATGATTCTGACCTAAAAAATGCTGAACAAAAGAATGAACAGAAGATATTGCTCACTTCCAATCTGCTCAAAATGTAGAAAATTTCTAAAGTTCATTCTTTTCTTTACGTGGTACCTTCTAAAGACAGTGCCAGTATATACACTGCCTTCTGAATTCACAACATATTTTCTAAATACTCAAGCGGGTCATGATTTCTATTTTACCCAATAATGAGCACAAAATTTCTTAAGCCGTCTTGGGACTTATAAAGATAAATACAGTTTTGATATAAATTGGTCAATTACAAAATGTTAAAAATTCTAATATATATGACATGATTTATATAAAGGGAAATCATATCTACTTTGAAGGAATAGAAAGACGTTACATGCTTACTGCAAATGGGTTTTGAAGTAGAATTGCCTTATCAACCATGCTCCACTCAGAATTAGCAAGATCTTTGTCAAATTTCAGTGTGGAGGCTGTAGATTTGATTAGCTCTTGAAAGCGTTGAAATGTATAAAGATTGGATTTATATTTTGTTGATGTGACATCACGAAGACCTTTGATTCAAAGAGTACATATTATAAACAAAAGCAATACCATGATTTTAATATGGATTTTAGATTGTTCTTTCATTCTTTGCTTATTGTCACTAAGCATTTAAAAAATTGCTTTAGTCACTTTCTTGTCACTGGGACATAATATCTGACTTCACAATGTAAAGAATGAGAGGAATACTTTATCTTGCAGTTTTTAGAGGTTTCAGTCCATACCTGGCTGGCTCCAAGGCAGAAAGCATGGTAAAAAGACCTGGGGAGGAGAAAGCTGATTGCATCAGGGTAGCAAGTAAGCAGAGATAGGAGCTGAGTGAGGGGCCAAGGAGGCAGAAATACCCTTCCAGGTTACACCCTCCGTGACCTGCCTCTTCAGTCCGTACCTGAACTCACTACAGCAAGTTAGCTATATTGTTCCCAGGATTCGATCACTTTCTGAAAACCCCACTGATGAGCACGTGAGAACTTTGGGTGACTGCCTCAATCTAAACCATTACAAACATTAAAGATTCAACATAATTTTTTTAATAATAGAAATACTAACAAGTTTTAAATTTTCTACTTTCACACTACTAACAAAAGCTAAAATGCACTAAAAAAGTAATAGCTAGTGTTTATCTGGTGCTTTATCTGCTGGAGAAATGGACTTCAACATTGCTCAGAGTAATGTTTTACCTCTCGACTAATTTTTGAGATGAGTGCTTTCCCCCAATTTTCTAAATAAGGACACAGGGACAGAAATGTGATGGTTAAATTTATGTGTCAACTTGATGAGAAGACAGGGTACCCAGATATTTGGTTAAACAGTAATCTAGAATGTTCTGAAGGAGTGTTCCTAGATGGAAAAATATTCTATAAATGCTATTCCATAGCACTGGGAGACTGAGAAAAGCACTGTGCTCTGTTCATTGTGAATGGGCCTCATCCAGTGTGTTGGAAGCTAGATAATAACAAAAGCCAGGGTAATAGAGAATTTTCTGTCTACCTTATGGTGTTTGAGTTGGGGCATTGGCCTTCAGTCTTCATATTTGGACAAGAATTTATAGCACTAACACTTTTGCCAGTAGTTCTTGGGGATTCAGACTGCAGACCTCGAGACTTAGATTCCATAATCACTTTGGCTGCTTAAGCACATTGAAGGAATTATTTGTATTCTGTTTTTTCCTCTTAGACTACTCCTATTCCAGTGTATGTTTACAATGCACAATAAATACATTCATTGTAGGGAATCAGTACATGTACATATAAATATCTTGATCATTTTTACTTTCTGTTCCCCTACCTCCAAACCACTTTCCATTCTCTCAAAGAACCAACTCTTTGATTCATTGATCCTTTGTATTGTTTTTTTAAGGCTCAATTTCATTAATTTTCATTGATAACTTCTTTCCTTCTTTTAGTTTCAGATTTGGATTGCTCTTGTTTTGCTAGGACTTTGAGGTGAACCATTAGGTTATTTATTTGGGATCACGATTGTTTTTATGTGCGCCTTCACAGCTATACACTTTCCTTTTAGAATTGCTAACACTGTGCTTTATAGGTTTTGGTATGTTGAACTTCCATTATCATTTTATTCTAGGCACTTTTTAATTTTGTCCATGATTTCTTCTGTGATCCATTGATTATTGAATAATGTACTTTTGCTTTCCAAATAGTGTGAAGTTTCTATGGTTTCTTTTGTTGTTGATTTCTACCTTTATTCTTCATTGATCTGATAGCATTCAAGGGAGTATTGCAATTCCTTTATATTTATTTAAGCATGTTTTATAGCCTAAGATATAGTCTTTTTTTGAAAAAAAAATTTGGTGTGTTGCTGAAAAAAATGTGGGTTCTGTTTTTAGATGAAACACTCTGCAGATGGATGTTAAATGCATTTGCTAATAGTGTGGTTTAACTCTGAAGATTTATTTTGTTAAGTTTTCGTCTGGTTGCCCTAACTGTGAGCCTGGGGCATTGAAGTCCAGCACTATGATTGTGTTGGTGTCTGTCTTTTTAAATCCAGTGGTTTTTGTTTTATGAAGTTGGGAGTGCCAACATGTGGTGTATAGATACTTATAATTTTTATCTCAGCTGGGTGTGGTGGCGCACGCCTGTAATCCCAGCACCCAGGAAGCTGAGGCAGGAGGATCACTTCAAGTTTGAGACCAGCCTGGGCTACACAGTGAGTTCCAGAGCAGTCTGAACTACATAGTGAGACCCTGTCTCAAAAAAACCAAAATAATAATAATAATAATTATCATTATTATCTCTTCCTGTTGAATTATTTCATTTATCACTATGTAGTGGCCACCTGTCAGGAGCAAGTATACATAATTTTTTTTGAAAATCATTTGATTAGGCTGAGTTCTCCTGCCTATGGGTGAGCTATGGCAAGTTGAGACATAAGTTCATTTTGGCTCTGGTCACAGCTAAGACCTCAGTGGTCCATGATGCTGTGATACTCCAAGACAAGATTACACCAGGTGAAGGCATCCTTGGAGGAACAAAATCTTTATTTGCATACATAGTTTCTCATTGTTCTAGGATTTTTTTCAGCTGCCTCTGCTGCTGCCCTCTGAGTGATCTTGTACATTTTTCTACTCTGATGTACTGAACTCTTTTCCTTGAGTCATCTGTTACATTTGTTTTCTCTTGATGTACAAAATAAGTGTGTGGGGGGGTTTTCATCTTTGCTGCCCAGAGCAGCATTGATCAGGCCCAAAGCTTGGCTTCTTCTCTAAGTCTCATTTTTTTCTATCTTTTCTGTCTAATAAACTAATTCTCCTTGTGCTGTTGTGGCTCTCAGGAGATGAGGACTTACTGCAGAGGTTCTAGTAATGTCCCCTTTTCCTATTCCCTTCAGCCATCTTTGTCTCCTTTGATCAACTTTGGCTTGAAATCTCTTGTATATGAAAATACAATAGCTACTTGTTTTCAGGATATGATTGAATGGAATATAATTTTTCATTCTTTCACTATCAATCTATGGAATTCCTTTTGGATGAGGTATCTCCTGTAGGTAACATATGATTTCATTTTGTTTTTTAATCTAACCTGCCAGTTTGTGTCTTTTGAATGGGGAGTTTAGACCACTGACTTTAAGAGTTATTATTATAGAGTACTCATTGAATCCTGGCATTGTATTATTTTTCTAGTGCTGATTCCTTTACTTTTTCCTTTCGTTTTCTCTCCTAGAAAGATATTTCCTTTGGGCTCTTTGGTGCTGGTGGCCTCCCTGGATCTGGCTAGGCTTCCATTAAATATTTTCTGCAAGGCTATTTTCACGGTCATGTATTTCTTTAAATTTTCTTTACTGTGGAAGACTTTACATCTCTGTCAAATTCAAAGGCTAATTTTGCAGGATATAAATTCTGGGTTGACAATTATTTTCTTTTAGTGCTTGAAAAACTTCACTCCATGCTCTCATGGCCTTTAAGATTTGTGCTGAGAAATCTAAAGTTATTCTTATAGGCTTGCCTTTGAAAGTTACTTACTGTTTTTCTCAAATAGCTTTTAGTTTTCTCTCCTTTTGTTGAGTTTCTGGAATTTTGATATTGTGTCATGGGGAGGTTTCTTCTGGTCATGGCGATTCAGAGTTCTACTTGCCTCTTGTATTAGAAAACCGAATTTTTCCCATAGATTTGGAAATTTTTCTTTTATAGTATCAGTGAATACATTTTTAGACATTTCTCAATTGTCCTTTATTTTATTTTTTCTTTATTCTATAATCTGGGGTTTTGTTTTTGAATCTAGTTGGATCTAGCTTGCATTAGCATGTTGTCATTTTTAATGTATAAATGACTTTATATTCTACTATATACATTTTTCTTTTATTTATGACACTGAAATTTCTGACATTTTCTTTTATTTGTCCTCACATTAGTTAAGTCTACTCATGTTTTCCACTGTATTTTTCATATTATATATATATCTGCTTGCTTTCTTTTCATACTGTCTAGTCCTTTACTGAAGTGGCCCTTTATGTTTTGTCTAACTCAATTATTGTTTGTTTCTTTTTTCAGGTTCATTCAAAAAAATTTTCCTTGTCTTTAGAATGAAATGTTATGAATTATAATAGTACTGAGCATCTAGAATAACTTTTATAAAAGTTTATCAAGTGATTGGATAAACATACTATCATTTTAGTCACACTAAACTAATACAAATAAGTAATCTTTTAAAATAAATAAGCTTATTGGTGTGAGGAATTAATTTCCTTTCCCAGATTCAATTTCCTCTTTAATTAAAACCATTGACATATACAGAATATTTTTATCTTTACTCAGAGTAATATTTAATATGACTTACCTAGTTTAGTAACTGCCATTGGCAAAATAAAGTTGTGGACAATCAAGTTAATTAAGCATACTGTCATTCCATGAAATAGTATCTAGAATTGAAAAAAATATATATGAAGTAAGAAGTTTGGATAACTTATTATCCATTGGTAATTATAAAGCTACGTTGTATTATGTTAATAGTAGCTTGTGAAGGTTTTGGGGATGATGAAAGTTTTTTGTAAATTCTCCCTGAATGTACTTCATCTATGTTTTTTTTTTCATTGAGTTTATTGGTACTTTTTAGGTATGCAGTACAGTTACATTTATCATTGGAATCTTGTACCTTTGCATGACAGATCTTTGTTCTCATATTTTCCCCACACCCCAGCCTTCCCTTCACCCCCTCCCCACTCCCCTATTTACAAAGACTTTGTTTCCATATTTTTCCTTTTCTCATATTTCTTCTTTTCCCTTATTACCCTTCCCCTACCCTTCCCACTTCCCCTACACCTTTAGCCCCTTTCTTCCTATTTCACATTGTCAGTTATACCATTTGGAATTGAAAAAAATATATATGAAGTAAGAAGTTTAGTTTAGTTTTTTCACCCCAGTGAAACTATTCGGTATTTACACATGTGTGACTTATTTATTTCACTTAAGCGTATGGCCTCAATATACATCCATTTTCCTATGAATGACTCTAGTTTCTGATTATTTATGGCTGAATAGTACTCCATTGTATAGAAAAACCATTATCTTCTCTATCCAGTCTGTAACTGATGGGCAATTGGGCTGTTTCCAAGTTTTAGCTATTACAAACTGTGTCATCTATGTTTTAGAATGAAACTAGAGCCAGGGTATTGTTTCTATCTTGGGAATTTGATCTTTTTAGCTTTTTGGACTGCTTATTCTGAGAGAAGCCAGCTATCATAATGTAAACTGACCAATGGAGAGACCCAAGTGACAAGTGACTAAAGGAGGATTCTAGCCAAGGATTATCCAGAAACTGAGGCCCTTTAGTCTAACTACCTCAGATGACTGAATCTTACCAGCAATCATAAATGTGAGTTTGGAAACACTCTATCCATTTGATCTTGGTGAGTGATATTTCCCTAATTCACATTTAAATAGCTTGTGACAGAAAATGCATCAGAAATACCTAGATAGCTTGCAGTCATGTTTATGACTCAAAGAAACTGAAGTAATGTTTCTTGTTTAAAGCAGCTAAATATTTTGATCATTTGTTGCATGGCCATAGATAAGTAATACATACATATTTCATTACTTTTACTTCTATATTATGTTTCTGATGCTATTGTTATTATTTCACCCAGATTCTTGTACTCCCTTGTCTTGGCATTAGGAATTGAACCTAAGGTCTCACACAAATTAAATGTGTTATGCCACTGAGCTACAACTCTAGTGCTATTGCTTCATGTTTTTGGATTATTGTTTATAGAAATTGCATTTCTATAAACAATAAACAAATTTATGTAATTTCTATAAACATTAAATATTTGTTGTTGTTGTTGTTACTGGGGATTGAACTCAGGACCTTGTGCTTGTGAGGCAGGTAGCAGAACCACTGAGCTAAATCCCCAGCCTTAAACAAAATTTTTTTTTTTTTTTTTTTTTTTTTTTTTTTTTGGTACCAGGGGTAAAACTTGGGTCCTTGAGCTTGCAAGGCAGGCCACCGAAACTCTGAGCTAAATCCCTGGCCCTAACATTAAATATTTGAGTAAAGCCTTTTTGATTATAAGATATTATCCCTCATAGATATATTTAATTCTGTTGGCTAAATAGTTTTTAGGGATTTAAAAAATCATATTCTATCAGATTTTTTGATAATGTCTTTTTGGTGTTTTGTATAAAATGAGTAAGAAACTGTCCAATTATACTTTTTGCGTAGAGCTCATGTTACTTGTTATTTAAATGTGTAGCATTAATTAGCTAACTTGTTTGGCTTCTAGTTTTCTTTGGGAGAGCCAATCATTAGTTATTTTGCCTTTTCGTATAAATTTTAGATAAACTTGTTTATATATGCAAATAATTTGTTGGGATTTAATAGGGGTGCATTAAAGCTTGCATCAATTTGAAATTCTAAGTTTATGCATGAACAAAGTGTATTTCTCCATTTCTTGGCTCACCTTTCATTTTCTTCATTGTTTTTTTGTAGTCTTCAGCCTAGAGTCTCTGCAACATATTTTGTAAGATTTTATATTGAACTCTATTTTTTCTTGAATGTACACAATACTATATCTTTAATTTGGCTACATGTATCAACTCCTAGTAGATAAAAATACAGTTGATTTTTAAATATCTTGTATTTTGAAATCTTGCTGAATTTATTGAACATTTTTGTTTTTTACTGTATTTTTTAATATGCTTGAAATTTTCTATGTAGCTAATCATGTTAGCTTCAAATAAGGGTAGTTTTATTTCTTACTTTCCAATGTTACACATTTTTTTTTCCTTTTCTGTATAGAACTGGTTAGAACTTTTATCATGATGTGCCATAAGACTGATGTAAAGAGAAATTTATGTGCTGTTGATGATCTTAATGATTTTTTCTATTAATTATGACGTACTTGTAGGTTTGACACTTTTTATCAGCATTAAGAAGTTATTTCTATTTTTATACTTTAAATATCATACAAATGGATAATATATGAATATTTTATATGAATGGATAATAAATTTTGTTAAATGTTTTTCTGGACCAAATGATTTAATTTCATAAATGTCTATTGGACACTTGATTAATGGTGGTGTTCACCTCCACATTTTTGTTCATTTTCTACCTAGTTGCCTTACAACTTGTTGTACAAGTTTTAGGGAGGTGTGTTAAGTTTCCCATTATAATTTGTCTATTTCTTCCTTTAGTTCTATTACTTTCTACTTCACATATTTTCTCAGTCTTTTTTAAAGCATATCTGTTTAGAATTTATTTTTTCTTCTACAGTGAACAGACTTTTGCCAAAGGACATATCGAAATTTTCCATTTCAGAGAGCATATTTTTCAGTTATAGAAGTGTTCTTTGTTATAGTTTCAATTTCTTTACAGAAATATCACCATGCTTTCATATCTTTACTCCATTTGTTTCTTTTAAATTCTTGAATTTATTTTTAATAGTTGTGCTAATTCCAACATGTGTGTAATCTGGGTCTGATACAGTTGAATAATTTCTCTTAAGAAAAGACCACATTTCCCTGTTTCTTCACATGCATAGTAATATAAGATTTTAGGCAGTACAGTATATATAGATGCTACATTGTCAAGAGTTTTGATTATGTTATCTTTCTGTAAAGCGTTGTGAGTTTTGTGTCAGGCAACTAATTAACAGGTATGTCATATTACCCTACAAAAGCCTGGTTTTAATCTGTTTTAGAGTTGGTCTAGAGATTAAGGCATAATCCTTACTTATAAGGTGTGCCCATTTTTGGGTCATAGCTTAACCTATGTGGTGTTCAATAATGCTTATACACTGTAGTTCATCAGAACTCCAGTAATCTGTCAGCACTGTGTGATTTAAAGAATATCCTTTCAACTCAAAGCTCCCCAATGACTCTTTTGTTGACCATCCTCTGATTCTGTGCTTGGATGATTATTATTGGATTCTTGATCTGAAGGCTTACCCATGCAGAGTTCAATAATCTCTTTCTACACAGTTCTTGCCTCTGTGATACCCACTCCAAAAATTCAAGCTGCTTCATTGGCCCTATACTATATTTTTTTCCATTCAGTTAGATTACTGTATTGTCTTTGGCTTCCACTACTTTGTACCACAGTTCAGAAGAGGCCAGAGTAAATGTGAACTCACTATGTATTTTTTCTTTCACTCAAGAATCTAAGAATAGGGGCAGGGATTTAGCTCAGTGGTTCTGCCACCTGCCTCACAAGCACAAGGACCCCAGTTCAATCCCCAGTACCAAAACAAAAAACAAAAAACAAACCAAAAAAGAATCTAAGAATACAATGGCCCTTGTTCAAAACCGGTCAGTAGCTTCATGAGTTTTACCACTTTTGTATTTTTTTACTGTGTAAAATAAGTCTGATATCCATTATTGGTAATGGGGATGGCCAGAATTTCACAAGCACTGATTTTCTAAATGTTCCTGAAGTTTTCTAAAGTACATTCTAGGTTAAAAAAACCACTAAATTAATTTCATACTCTAATAGTAGTAAGTGCTAATATTTATACAATAGGCATATAGTACTGTATACCTGACTTATTTAATCCTCACTATAATTCTACCATTTTAATATAAGTATTATCTAATTATATTGATTGGAAATGGAGACACTATAATTTATCCAAGGTCACAAAACATGTGAATCGTCGGGCCAGGATTAAAAAGGCAGTATATCTTCAAAGTTAGTATTTTTATTTTCATACATGCATATAGCATGTTTTGGTCATATCCATTCTCCCTACTCTCCCTTGGGGTCCTGTCTTCCTTCCCCTCATTCTCTTCTTGTCTTACAATAGTATCCTTGAAGTTAGAAGTTAGTGTTTTTAACCCTTTAACATAAAGCCTATAATAATGCTAGTTGTAGAGTTCAGCTGAAAAACATTAAGTGACTTTTGATGGACATTCAGGAAAAAATTAGCTAAAAGCTAAAAACTAAACTAAACTAAACTGAAAAATTTCCAAACTCTGATTCATATGCAACAGTAAACATCATACTGATCACACTCACTTTGATTATCAAGCAATGGAAATGATTAAAAGGAAGTGGGTGAGAAGTTCATGGGGTTGCAGGCCTGTAATCCTAGCATTCTGGGAGGCTGAGGCAGATGGATCATAAATTGAGGCCAGCTTAGGCAATTTAGTGATTTAGCAAGGCTCTGTCTCAAAGTAAAAAAAATTTAAAAGGGGATATAGCTCAATGGGAAGTCCATAAGTTCAGCCTCCAATAACACAAAAAGAAAGAGGAAGAGAGAATCTAATATTTTAAAAAATCGATTTAAAAATATTTAAAACTTTTAGTCTTGTATTAAACTATTATTTAAGTAGACACAACAATCACTACTCTTCTTTTTACACTTGGAATTTATAACACACACGCGCGCGCACGTACACACACGTGCACACACACACTGGAAATGGCAGATGTGTTGTGATACCTGTATAGGAAATTTCCTGCATAATTCTGCAATTATCTTGACTTGAAATGCAGTAAGAGTATGTGCCCAGTATGCTCAGTTAAGCAGAGTTCAGTGATGCTAGAGATCACTCTCTCCCTGATGATTAAAATGTTTTATGTCCTCACACAATTAAATGTTGCTTTATGTTACAGAAAGTAAAAAGAGGTAACCATAAGCAGGTTCCTGCCTTTTTAAGTGAATATTAGGAGTAAACAAAAGTGAAAACATTGAGTATATACTTTGCATCAGGTACTATTTTAAATAATTTCTAAATTTCAATTTCTTGAATAGTCATAATAAACTCATTTTTAGGTATGAGAAGTTATCACGGAATTTCTAAGCAGAAATGAGGAAGGAGAAAATTAAAAATGGTTCTTCCTCTTCTCCCCAATTTTGCCATCATAGTTAAATCATCCCGACAGCCCCCATGAGGTTGAGCTATCTGACTGCAGAACCGTATTTTGAATATGTAGCGATACTTTTATAAAATATTCAGTATTTCTTTACTTGAGATTTTTCCCTCACAGATCCAAAAGAAGCATCAGAATAAGCAAACAGAAGGGCCATGTTTATGTTAGGTATTCCTTTCATTTCACTCCAGGCTATTATGAGCGACCAACGCCAGGTGAATCCACGACCAAATCGTGTCAAGATGGGACTCAAAAATAGTAACAGCAGAAATCTAAAAAACAAAATAATATCTAAAATGTTATTCTTGTCATAAAAACGCATTTCTCTTCTATCCCAACCTATTCTTTGTGGACTTGCTAGCTCTACAACTAATGAGGCGACTTTCACACACTTAGCATCACACCAAATGAAGGCAGAAGGTATTCAGGAGAATAGCTTTATTATTGTTCCTTTCTACAAGGTAATGATAGGGTAGGGGCACTCATGCTTTCTCAGGTGGAAAACAAAAAGAGATATTCTGTATATATGTATATTCTGGATCTCAACAAAATTTAAAAAAATCCAATGAATAAGAAATAAAATGCTTTCCCTTTATAGATTTTAATCTTGCTAAAACTGTCAGATATTTCATATTTATTTTTTCAGTCACATATCATTCCTCTTTCTCCTATTCTCCCTAATCTTCTCATCATAGTTCAATTAGCCCACAGGGGATTGAGGGATTTTATCTGATAATTTAGGACTAATTTCTGCTTACTTGGCACTAGCTGAGTTGGTTTCAAGAACCCAACTAAGTTTCCTATGTGAAATTGGAACACTAGCAAATTGAGTGATGAGGGTTAAAGACCTAGGGTGCTGATTATGATGACTTTTATAACTCTCATCTGCTTTTCAGCTGCCTCTTAAAAGTGCAAAAAGGACTACAGAAATTATTTCAGCAAGGAAGATATTTACAAAGTCTATGATTTCTTCGCCGATGTCTTCTTAAACTGTATTTCTTTCCAACTCTATTTTTAATTCATAGGAATTAAGATGTGATATTAAGCAAAAACACAGGTTTATATTTATGATAGGTATTTATCTTCATAAAACCTCAAAGAAAAAGAAGATGATGAAATATGCCAAATATTAATAGAGGCATAATCTTAAAATCTTAATAAAAATATAAATGATCTTAATAGATTATGAAGGTTTTTTCTTTCTAATTTTCAGAAGTTTACAAAGTGTATTGTTAGGAAATCCAGTTAAAGATAAAGAAAACTACAAAGCATTAATTTGCTAATCATTTCCCAAAAAGTCCGGGTCAACAGTTCAGTTTAAGGTATGAAATACTTTTGTTTAAAAAACATACTTGAGAGTTATTTAATTTCCTATAAATAAGAAATTCAAATGGCATTCTTACCTAAAAACAAGCACTGTAAAGTAGATATTTAATGAATAATATATATCAGAAAATGATATATACAAGTATGTATGTGCAGGAATTAGAAGTCCACTGAAACTAAACACCATAAGAAGGGCAATAAATGTTAGACAATCCCAGAGTCTGAAAAAAATTAAAATATAATCATGCAAATTAACCTAACACATTTGTTGTAAAGCTTATTTATATGAGGCAGTATGTCATTCACTACCAAGAAAATAAAAAAACATAAGGCATTTATCAACATTTAATAAGCTTTAAAATTAAGCTACAAAGAGAGGGGCATTGAAAGAAAGAAATGACTAATTCTAAATCAATTTAAACCAGTTTTTATGTGTAAATTAGTGGTTTTTTCATTGTATCTGAACAAAATATTTAGGTTGTTAAGGCAGTTGATAGAATACAAACAACTAGATAACTGTGGTTCATATAACTGGAAAATAGTGATTGTAAAATGTTTGTTTCTTTAGGAAAAGCCATTGTCAATTATTTTTTATTTCTATCTTTTATTATTAAGGTTTATCTTTCATAATCATGTTCAGTCTTGTGGGTATAGAATAAAAAGATTTTTTTTTCTCCTTTTTCCACTTACCCCGCACCTCCCTGCACCCCCTCCTCCCTTCCCTATTTACAAATACTTTATTTCAATTTTTTCATTTTCTCATGTTTTTTTCTTTTCCCTTATTTCCTTTCCCCTACCCTTCCCACTTCCCCTACACCTGTAGCCCTTTTCTTCCTATTTCATATTGTCAATTATACCATTAGGATATTATGTACAATTATACTTTTTTCACACCAAAGAAACTATTTGGTATTTACAAATCTCAAACTTACTTATTTCACTTAAGAGTATATTCTCAATATGCATCCATTTTCCTATCAATGAGTCTAATTTCTCATTCTTTATGGCTGAATAGTATTCCATTTTATAGAAAAACCACATCTTCTTTATCCAGTCTCCACCTGATAGACAAATGGGCTCTTTCCAAGTTTTAGCTATGACATACTGTGCCACTATAAACATGGATGTTTGTATATCACTGTGATATGATTCTTTTAATTCTTTTGGAAAGATATCCAGCAGAGGGATGGTGATGGCTGGGTCAAATGGAACCTCTAATCCTAGTATTTTGAGGTATCTCCATACTGATTTCCACAGTGGTTGCACCAGTCTGCACTCCCACCAACAATGGAGAAAGGTTACTTTCTCCCCACAACCCCACCAACATTTGTTATTGGTTGATTTCTTGATAGCATCCATCTTTGTGGGGTGAGGTGAAATCTCAGTGTTGTTTTCATCTACATCTCTTGAATGGCCAATGATGTGGGACATTTTTTCATATATTTACTTGATGCTTTTACTTCTTTGTCTGAGAAATGTCTGTTTATTTCATATGCCCATTTGAATTGGGTTTTTATATTTGGGGGGCACTGATTTTTTTTAGTTCTTTATATATTATAGATAATAGTCCTTTTTCTGAGGAGCAGCTGGTAAAATTTTTTTTTCCCACATTACTGGTTGTCTCTTAGTTGTGTTGATGGTTTCTTTTGCAGTGCAGAAGCTTTTTAACAAGATGGGATCCCAGTTGTTGATTGTTTGTGCTAGTTCCCAGGCTACTGAGGATTTGTTCATAAAGTCTTTTCCTATGCTAATGTCTTCAAGAGTTCTGCCTAACTTATATTCCAGCATATTTAGTGTCTCTTTTTTAATATTTAGATCATTTATCGACTTGGATTTTAGTTTAGTGCATAGTGAAAGATAAGGGTCTACTTTTAATCTTTTGCAGGTTGAGATCCAGTTTTTCCAACACCATTTATTAAAGAGCCTATCTTGCCTCCAGTGAGAATGGTTGGCTCCTTTGTCAAAGATGAGGTAGCTGAGTACACCTGGAGTTGTATCTGAGTACACCTGGAGTTGTTTTGTATCTTCCAATCTGTTCCACTGATCCTCAGATCTGTTTCTTTGCCAGTACCATGCTGTTTTTATCACAGTGGCTTTATAATATAGTTTCAGATTGGGAATTGTTATACCCTCTGCCATGTGTCTGTTGCCTAGGAAGGCTTTTGCTATTCTAGGTCTCTTATTGCTCCAAATGAATTTTTGGATTATTTTTTCCTAATTCTGTGAAATATAGTGTTGGAATTTCAGTTGTCATTGCCTTGAATCTGTAGAGCAGTTTTGGTAGTACAGCCATTTTCACTATGTTGATTCTTCCTACCCAGGAGCAGGGGAGATCTTTCCATTTTGTTATATTCTCTGAGATCTCTTTTTCCAGAGTGCTGTAGTTTTCAGTGTAGAGTTCTTTTGCTCCTCTCTTTCATTAGATTGATTACTAGATACTTCATTTTTTGGATGCCACTGTGAAAGGAATTGTTTACTTAATTTCTCTCTCAGTGAGTGTGTTATTTTTGTACAAGAGGGCTATTGATTTTTGAGTGTTTACCTTGTATCCAGCTACTCTGCTGAAAGTGTCAATTAAGTCTAGAAGTCTTTTGGTGGAACATATATGCACCAAATATTAATTTCCACAACTATATAAAATAAATATTAAATAACATGAAAAACCAAATAAGCACTAATACAATTGTAGTGGGGGATCTAAATACTCCACTATCACAAATAGACAGATCAGCTAGGAAAAGAATCAACAATGAAATACTAGAACTGAGCCAAGGTTTTGAACATATGGAATTAACAGACGTCTATAGAGTGTTCTACCCCACAAAATCAGGATATACATTCGTTTTGGCTGCACATGGGTCATTCTCCAAGATAGATGACATACTAGCTCATAGAACAGGTTTGAATAAATGCAAAGGAATCAAAGTCATCCCCTGTATATTATCAGATCATAGTGCAATCAAGCTGGAGATCAATAGCGTAAGAAACCATAGGAACTTCACTAGCACATGGAAATTGAACAACACCCTCCTGGGTCTCAGAGGAAATTAAAGAAGAAATTAGACAGTTTTTACAAATAAATGATAATATCAATACAACATACAGGAATCTATGGAACACAGTGAAAGCAGTTCTGTGTGGAAAATTCATAGCAGTGAATGCCCACAATAGAAAAACAGAGCAAGTGCAAATAAACAACCTAATGATGAGTCTTAGACTCCTAGAAAAAGAACAAGAAAAACCCAAAGCTCATACAAGAGAGGAAATTATAAAGATTAGAGCAGAAATCAATGCAATGGAAACTAAGAAAATGATAAAAAGAATCAATGCATCAAAAGGTTTTTTTTTTTCTTGTTGAGTTTATTGGTACATTTTAGGTATACAGTACAGTTACCTTCATCATTGGGATCTTGTACCTTTACATGAGAGGTCCTGGTTCTCATTTTTTCTCCTTACACCTGCCCTTGCTTCACCCCTCCTCCCTACCTATTTACAAATACTTTATTTTCATTTTTTCCCTTTTCTCATATTTTTTCCTTTCCCTTATTTCCTTTCCCCTACCCTTCTGAAAGAAGAAATAAATAAAATAAAGAATAAATAAAATTGATAAACCCTTAGCTAATCTTGTCAAAAAAAGGAAAGAAAAGGTTCAAATCCATGAAATTAGGAATAAAAAGGTGCAGTCACAACAGATTCAACAGAAATCCAGAGGGTTGTCAGTACCTACTTTGATAACCTGTACTATAAAAAATGGAAAACGGAAGAAATGGACAGATTTCTAGATACTTATGAATTACCAAAGTTGAATGAAGAAGATAAAAAAAAATTCAAAATACCCCAATTACAGTGAAATTGAAAATGTAATTAAAAGTTTACCAATGAAGAAAAGCCCAGGTCCTGATGAATTCACTGCTGAATTTTACAAGACATTTAGAGAAGAACTACTGCTACAACTTTTTAAATTTTTCAATGAAATTGAAAGGGAAGCAATACTTCCAAATTCATTCCTTGAAGCAAGTATTACTTTGATTCCCAAACCAGGGAAAGACCCAACTAAAAAAGAGAACTACAGGCCAATCTCCTTAATGAATATAGATGCAAAAATCCTTAATAAGATACTGGCAAAAAGAATACAGAGGGTCATCAAGAAGATCAAACACTCTGACCAAATCAGATTTATTCCCAGGATGCAAGGATGGTTAAACATACATAAGTCAATAAATGTAATATAGCAGATTAATTGAGTCAAGGACAAAAACCATATGATCATCTCAATAGATGCAGAAAAAGCATTTGACAAAATTCAACACCCATTCATGATAAAAACCCTGCAAAAAATTGGAATAGATGGTCTATATCTCAACTTAATAAAGGCTATCTATGAAAAACCAACAGCCAACATCATATTAAATGGCCAAAACCTGAAAACCTTCATGTTAAAATCTGGAGTAAGACAAGGATAACTACTATCAGTACTCCTCTTTGATATAGTTCTGGAAATATTAGCCACAGCAATTAGACAAGAGAAAGAAATTAAAGCAATAAAGATAGGAAAGGAAGAAGTTAAACTTTCATTATTTGTTGACAATATGATACTCTACGTTGAAGACTGTCAATTATTTTTAAAGGAATAATAAAATACAAATCTGATTTACATGGTGATAGAATTAAGCTCTTGTCTAAAATCTCGCTACTGTTCAGAAGATGTGAATGAATCTCTTTTGTCAACTTCTTCATTTTATGGATAAATAAAATACAATCATGGTCTATTTTTAACATGTTCAACTTGTTACACCGGGGATTGAACTCAGGTTCTTGCACTTGCAAAGCAGGCCACTGAACCACTGAGCTAAATCCCTGGCCCATGACCTGTCAATTGTGGAGAGCCATCTAACTACAGCCTGCATCTGACATCAAAAGAGGATCTAAAGGTCCCAACCATTGATTTTGGGGGACTTTGGAGGACTGTCATCTTGTTCTTGCAGTGGCCTATACCGGGGATTGAACTCAGGTTCTTGCACTTGCAAAGCAGGCCACTGAACCACTGAGCTAAATCCCTGGCCCATGACCTGTCAATTGTGGAGAGCCATCTAACTACAGCCTGCATCTGACATCAAAAGAGGATCTAAAGGTCCCAACCATTGATTTTGGGGGACTTTGGAGGACTGTCATCTTGTTCTTGCAGTGGCCTATCCTGAGTGCTGGACATATTTTCACTTTT